ACTGGAGTATGTCGGGCCAACTTGTAACCTAGGTTGTAACTAAGGTATTCTTCTTCAAATTATGCTTGGCTGGTGCTGTTTGCTCCTAAAATGGACAGACGAAAATCTTAATCACACTTTTCTCTTTCGTATCCGCTTTACAGGTTATTTTAAGCTTTCTGGCTTCCTACGTTCTGCGGCATCGTAGGCGGTCATGTTTATTTGCTACGTATACCTCAGTCTTTGATGCCTGGCTAAAGCGATGTGAATGTGCTAGACAGGAACTGAAGTAACCATGACTTCGATGTATGCCAATGATCATGGCCTGCCAGCAACCTCTCTGAATAAAGGGGTTCAGATTTAAAGTTTTTAAGAGTTGCCAAGTTTAGCTCAGGAAAAAAATAGCGTCAAGTTAAAGCGGCACTAGTACAGACAACAACAGATTATGCTAAAGTGAGTCTCATCCTGTGCTTGAAGCTCTAGAAGCTCTTGAAGCTTTGTCATAATCCGAGGACCCCTAATTTTTCTTTCCCAGAAGCAAACTCCTTAAAATAGAATGGCGCAATGGCCTTAGCCTGTCCAAAGACCTTTTTATGTTTTTTCCCCAGTTTACGGACAATAAAATATCCTCGCGGTTTTTATTTTCATACACGCACTCGACGATCTCAGAAAATATAGGGTTGAACACGAGGCTACACTTGTTCGTTTCTATTCCGATAGATTCCATTACAAGCCGCTGTTCGGAAAATGAAGATCAACAAAGACTGGTCTCGGCCTGGAGAATGGCGGAAATGGAGACTACACGATTTGTCACGCGCAGTGACGCAAATCGTAGGTGTGGAATTTTTTAATGAGCGGTGGACCACCAGTTTAGCTCCCGTGGTTTTAAAATAAAGCGGTGACGGAGAATCCATAAATTCATTTGTGACGCTTCACACTAGTCAGCCACAGAAATAAAAATCTAAAGAAGTATTGGTGTATTTCTAGAACGGGGAAACCATTTGTATAAAAAAAGTAAAACGTTTGTAAAGATATGCGCCGTTCAAAAGGCCGGGGATGTGCCGTCTACAAAGAAACCAAAAAACGGTTCANTTTGCTACGTATACCTCAGTCTTTGATGCCTGGCTAAAGCGATGTGAATGTGCTAGACAGGAACTGAAGTAACCATGACTTCGATGTATGCCAATGATCATGGCCTGCCAGCAACCTCTCTGAATAAAGGGGTTCAGATTTAAAGTTTTTAAGAGTTGCCAAGTTTAGCTCAGGAAAAAAATAGCGTCAAGTTAAAGCGGCACTAGTACAGACAACAACAGATTATGCTAAAGTGAGTCTCATCCTGTGCTTGAAGCTCTAGAAGCTCTTGAAGCTTTGTCATAATCCGAGGACCCCTAATTTTTCTTTCCCAGAAGCAAACTCCTTAAAATAGAATGGCGCAATGGCCTTAGCCTGTCCAAAGACCTTTTTATGTTTTTTCCCCAGTTTACGGACAATAAAATATCCTCGCGGTTTTTATTTTCATACACGCACTCGACGATCTCAGAAAATATAGGGTTGAACACGAGGCTACACTTGTTCGTTTCTATTCCGATAGATTCCATTACAAGCCGCTGTTCGGAAAATGAAGATCAACAAAGACTGGTCTCGGCCTGGAGAATGGCGGAAATGGAGACTACACGATTTGTCACGCGCAGTGACGCAAATCGTAGGTGTGGAATTTTTTAATGAGCGGTGGACCACCAGTTTAGCTCCCGTGGTTTTAAAATAAAGCGGTGACGGAGAATCCATAAATTCATTTGTGACGCTTCACACTAGTCAGCCACAGAAATAAAAATCTAAAGAAGTATTGGTGTATTTCTAGAACGGGGAAACCATTTGTATAAAAAAAGTAAAACGTTTCTAAAGACATGCGCCGTTCAAAAGGCCGGGGATGTGCGGTCTATAACCAAAAAACGGTTCAAAAAATGACAATTAGTCGACTAATTTCCGAAAAACCGCTTTTATTATTGGCGAATACTGAAAGCCAAGTGCTAGAAACCTAAAACTGCAAACCGAAACAGACATCAAAACCGAAAAATTGATGTTTTCAATGCAAACACCGAAAACCCAACCCAAACACGTTGCCCGACCTCAAGCTTCGAACCCAAGCCTCAGTCCCTCATCATACCCTAGTCAGTGAAATTTGTTTCAGCGTTAGAGTACACCTTCCGGGCGGGAGGGGCTGCGTAGGATTTCCAGTCCCTTTTACACGTGTGAGGGCAAAACGCAAGAACGTGCCTTTTTGTTTCAAATTCACACTTGAACCGTAGCCCGGTGGGCATCCTTGCAGGTTAAATCGAGCTCGGCCGTGCTTGGAGGTCATGATCATGTGATGATAGTACAACAAACTTGATCTTGCTTCCTGAACAAGCGGAAGCCAAACAATATTATTTAGGATTCGCTGTGTTTTCTTAAGAAACAAAAGTGACCTCCCAGTCTTGAGCATCTCGTTGACGAGAAAGGAATGCGAAATGTTTGAAACGTCAACATCACGAAATTTGCATTCCACTCCCCGCACGCGCGAAAATTGCTCGCGAGAGAGGACCTCGATCCTCCACCACGCGCGCACCGGTCCTCTCAGTGGTAAACGATAAGAGAAGCTTGACCAGTCTAGTCCCTTGAAATATTCACGCTGCGTTCTAGATTGAAAATGCGGCTTTATTTAGTCTTTTTCAACCTCGTCCCTCGAAGAGGATTTTTTTTCCCTAGCTAGAAAAACTGAAAGCCCGTAAAATTTCCTTATCGGGAGAAGTACTGGGAATGATACGGAAGAGAAACTGAGAGAGGAGGCCAAGACCAATTTTCAGGGGCGTTAAATTGTTGATCACAGGTGATCAAGGCTTAAGGACTTTAAACTGACTTATAACAGAAAAAACTCAAAGGCTGCATCACTCGAGCGTGGTTGCTATGGAGGAAGTTGAAAGGCTCATCACACAGTTTTTGTTGTTGTAAAAGCTGAAGCTTAATTTCGTCGAGAGAGGATATCATGAAGAGAGTATATATCCTGTAGAGGCTTTGTTCCTTATTGCTGAGGTAAATGCAAACGTGACCATCCCTCATCCCCACCCCCCCCCCCTTCCCAGGCATTTGACATCTCCTGGATTTCTTCGTCGGAAAGCCGCAAATAGGGAGCTTAAGACGACGAAAACGACAACCTCCAAAAAAATGGTTTTATGAGCAAAACAACAGCTCTGCACGTGCATCACGCTTTTTAGTACATTTCTTTGACGTCCACTGCACCATAGTCAGCCGTTTTTAGTGTCGTAACGGGGAGGAGCGTTGTGTGACGACACTAAAAACGCTTTGTAGCGGACTAACTGCACCACTACGACGTGAAACCTCCCAATGCGACGTTTTGTGGAGGACATGCACATACGACGACAAATTGTTCTTTCTCTATTTGAACGTGGACAAAGTCGTTAAGAATTCAACTCCAGGAAAACTCGCCTACATTTGACGAAATGTTCGGTTTCAAATACACGCGATAAAGTTTGAAAGGAAGTAAATTCTTTTATTAGTGGTATTTTCATTTCCGTCGTCGGCGTTGTTGCTTAAGGTCCCTAATCTCGGACAGTTGAACCACCAACTTCTCCCCACTACCTATGGCAAATGTACTATGGGACAACAAATGAGAATTTAACTTTTGATATTTAGGTCAGTTTAATGGATTAAAAGCCTCTGAAGCCCAGACTTACAACTGTAAAAAATCAATGGTTTAATCTCCATACTGTATTATGGAAGAAACTGAATATATCAAGGAGTTGTTCAGTCATCAAAGCATAAGCGTTTTGTAAACATGTGTATGACTCGTGAATAATATTTGAACAATTTGCAGTGACGTAGGTAGTAATTTCAGGTGCATTTCCGCGAGTTTTGGCTTCTGATAATTATCCGCAGCGGAAGTTGGTACGATTTCCTTATCATTAATTTGGCTGATGAGAGGAATTCCTTTTCGTAATAAACATGAAAACCGACAGGAAAAGCGCAATAAGGTTTTTTTTCTTGCCCCTGACACGCTCAAAGCACCTATCGATTACTCCTCTTTTCTATTCTATTCAAACGCAACGAAAACGTCACGCCGATAATTCGCGCCAGGATGGGCTCCTGTTTGCGCGCGCAAGCAAGCAAACTCTTTCAGGAACCGCGCCTTCCGCGCCCCCGAAATTTCCTTAGCTAAGCGATATGAGTTTATCTGCTTTTTAATGTCTTAACTCGAGGTGAAGTGATACGAAGGGAGGGGGCAATGAGAGCGTTCTTATTCCTCACTGTGCTTGTTGTAAAGCATTTGGTGCATCTTTATACAGTGTTCTAGCCGTAATCCACAAAGGTTTACTTTACTGTCTCCTAACTACTCTTTGTAAATTAACACAAGAAACCTCCTAATCGCATATTAAGGAAAAAATAAGAAAGTCTCCGCCCCCTCCCCCCCGCCCCCTCATTTTGTGCGTCCGTTACTTGCGCGCTTGGGAGATGGCGCAGCGCGTTTCCCGCCCCCATCTATTTCAGTATTATTATTATACGGGGCTGTTCACTACCTATTTCTCGCGCTTGGTAGAGTATCTTGTTATCATCTTAGTAATCCTTTTGTCTGAGGACTTGGTATAGACTAGCTACAAGTCGATCTCTTGGCGGCCGACCGCGAGCGACGAAGTCGCGAGAGGTCCCGCGCCATATGAAATCCGACGAAGGACTTTTTTCAAAGTCTAGGCTTGGTACAGTGGCATTCTTTATTTAATCTAACGCATGTGCGCTTTCTTCCCCATATCCTGTGGCGGAAACTGGATCAGGGCTCAGTACACTTCATGTCCAAGATGCCGCGTTTTCCTGGTCAATTTTTTAAGCTGTCCGAACAAAACACAGACCTTAAGTCCGCTATTTCACTTCCTCATCTCATACAGAGACAGCTTTCGTTAACCACTCCGCTTGCCTTGTTGCTCGCCAAACTGACAGACCTTTGGCATCTTCATATTCTCTGCCTCATTATATCATATCATTGTGCTGTTAGGTAGCAATATCCGAAGAATATGACAAATTATCACGCCGACCCACAAGAAAAACATTGAAAACTGGCCCGCTGATGAGGACAAAGCTTGCGAAGAACCTGTGGAGGTAATAAACAAACACAAAGTTTTAGGTTTTTCCCTGGAGCCCATTATCGGGAATACTCTAACACTCTTTCGCGTCATAAGACCGGCCTATTTTCGCGCCAAAATTCAACTTCAGCAGAAGCCCATGACCCGGAGAGAGAAATTCCTTTTGAAAGTTCTGGTATCACGGCGTTCTCACGGACTCGTCTATTTTTAAACCGATTTTGGCGCGAATTTAAAACATCTTTTAGGTCCCACAAACCAGAATCACGCGTCTGTTCCAGGCGTTCAGATGGTGGGGAACGAGAAAATTCGTACGCGGGGGAAACGAGGGGAGACTTTCCCCTTTTTTTTTCCCTCGTCAATATTTCGCCCACGCTTTACGATCTGAACGCCTGGAAAAGGCTAGCATCTTTGAGGGTTAAGCTGCAAAAATACACCCAAGACTGAGCGAGGAACCTGGGTAAGAGATGAAAGATCCGCTCGCTCCAGTCTCTCTAAAATTACTTTGAAGTTCTACGGAAAAGGATAGGTATTCTATTTTGCCGTTTGACCTGGTATGGTCTTCGCCAGCATCTCTTAACTCGACTTGACCATTGTAAAGCCGTTTGACCGGAACTTGGCACACACTAAATCCCAGAGGGTACTCAACAAAGTCTTACACTGGGAGGCACCGCCCCGACATCCAACCCCTTATTCTTTTACACCCTTTTTTACAGAAAAGGCACCCCTTTCGTATACCTTTCTTTGACAAATGGTACCCCTTTCACATACCTACTTTAGAACTTTGCGTCCCTTTTAACTGCTGTAAATGCACTTTCTTTTAAATATGAGTAAATCACAAAACTAGAAAATCTTCCCGACACTTTCAAAGCCACAAAGTCATTCTGAAGCCCTTTTGGGTCACTTTAAAGACCGAAATAACAGATTTTCTTAACCCTTCATATAGTTCATATTGTGAAAGCCCTACCCTTCATATACTTGAAGCCATGAAGTAGGTACCACTTTCGGGCGGAGCCTCCCTGTATAGGCCATTGTAAGGAGTAACTCCACCCCCTCCCTGGAACTAAGTAGAAATCGTGGCACAGAGATGACAGTGCAGGAGAAGGGAAAGATAATCAGTTCACTTGTCTGTCGTCACTTACATGCCTCAGTAGTGTTGATGGAAACCATTCTCCACTCTCCTTTCCCGAAGGCGTTTTCAGAGTTCATTCGTACTTCATACAAAGTTTTAACCTCTAGGTCTTTGAAGGTCTTTTTACGAAGTGAGGTCTTAAGGTACTCTGATTTTAATGTTTTCCCGTCATGCCTAAGTTCAATATAGTATCCGATCACCGGACTTCCGCCATCTTTTTCAGCCGGATCCCACTTTACATCGATGCTGCTACAACTCGACGATGCCCGGATGTTGTTTGGAGGTTCGGAAACGCCTGGAACGAAACAACCGCTACAAATTTGAACATTTTAGATAACCTGCGGCGCGTTAAGTTGGTCGTCTCTCTTGCATAATGTCATGGTCCTAATAGCGTGACAGCTATAGTAATTTCAAAAAAAATTCACAGGGACATTATTTTCCAAGCCTTATTACATCCCCGACAATTTCAAACGTTCGTTTTTCGCGTTTCAATCCACCATTCTGTAGCCTGTGAGCAGTCTCTTATTTTCTAGGAGAAAAGATGGACTGCAAGCAATCTAACTAAACTTGTCCTCTTGTTATCTTATCGCCTTGCCATTAATTTTCTCCAAAAGACTGAATGTCCGATAATTATAATAATAATAATAATAATAATAATAATGATGATGATGATGATGATGATGATGATGATGATGATGATGATGATAATGATGATGATATTTCAGAAGGGACCCTACTTAACCATTGGTCATATCAGGTCTTAGTGGACTGACTTGACGACAACGACTGTGCAAAGTTGTTGTTTTCGCACCAAATCTACTACTACTTTTTTCTTTCCTCCTTTCTTTCTCTTTTTCATTTTTTTAACCTTTCTGTTGCCTTCCTATCTTCCTAAGCTGGTACAAACCCTAATAGATTTAAAGAGGGCTTTGAGAAAATCATGGCTGAAATACCTCGCTCGTGAACTTCAATTGTGTGCGAGGCACTTCCTCTGCAGTTTGTCCCTTTACACGTGTAAAATCCAAAATCACTTTGACTTTTTGTCAAAAACCTGTATGATGCCGAACCAGGAGCATAGGTGATACCGATGTTTTTTAGTTCTTCTCCAAATATGTTGAATCGCACGCGAGGAACAGGGAACCCATCAAACACGCAAGTCAAAGTGACTTCTTCGTTGCCACCAATCGATGAGTACACCGTATTGTTTGTGGACCTCTCGCTGATAAATACAGGACGGTCTGCAATTATAACAATGCAAAAAGGAAGTTTATAAGCCATAAGGGTCGTGAAGAGGGGCATCCATGTGAAAGGGAGGGGGGGCTCTTCTTAGGGGGACCAATCTGGGTGTGGCTCAGGTTATATTTGCCCCCTAAAAAAGGCCATTCTGAGCTGTGCAGCCAAATGACCAGGAGCCGATTTGAAGAGGTGTAGTGACCTTGATTTAGATTTATACGTTGTTGATCATTGAAAACGTTCTATTTTCTTTTTCCTTTCTTCTTGTCTTCTTTCTATTTTCTTTATTTAAAACAAGGAAGGCCCTTAGCGATACTAGCCTGAATTTCAGCTGTCTCTACTCACAAACTCCTGAGAGACGTGAAAAGACTCTTTCCTTTTGAGATGAGAAGCCGAAAAGAGGGCACAAAAAAATTTTGGATAAGGGCAAAAACTAACCGCGAGACGAGAAGAACTTAAAGCCAAAACAATGATAGAGCGATTTTCGTATGACCTTGAAATGAAAACGCGCGAACAAAACAGAAACAACAAACGAACGGAAATAGAGCGTTTTGATTGGTTTATCGAACGGATACAAACGCGCGTAGCTTTTGGTTGGTTTATAAGCGAACGTTCGGGTGAAAAAACTTCATGTACGAGAACTTTCTAGAAATCAATCGATACTTCTCTTTGACGTCATACTGCAACACGACTGGCCAATCGAACAATGGCTTGTCCATGTTACGGCTTTCTTTGGCGGGAAAACGAAGAGACCATGTCTTGATCTTTTCATCCATTGGCTGATAAAACAAATGACCAACACTTACCGAAACCATTTTTCAAGGTCATACGAAAATCGCTCCATCTATTTCCGCTGCAGTACTTACATTCTACATATAACATCACTTGAGCTTTGTTCGTTTCTCCGCGGCATTCATACGGCCCATCATCTGTTCTATTCACCCTCCTTATATTCAAACTATACCACAGGTTTCCGTCACTTTTCACGTGCCGTCTTTGCGATGGATCATCGGGTATTCTTTCGCCATTCATAAACCAACCTTGAAATGCTTCGTCCTTTAAAGTGCAGTTAATACTTGTTTTTTCGCCTTCTGCTATGTAATGGCTTGCATTCGGATGCGTAGAAACAGCTCCGTCTGTTGTCAAAAAAATACATCATCACAAGTTAAGAGTGTTGCTACTTGTCCCTGTGAGTGAAGACATTTTCAATCTGTTAGTCGTACTCGCCGGGCGTCCTGTCCGACGGTCACTTCTTTTCCCAAGAGTGACCAACATCAATACAAAAGGTTATGAGAATTAAAAGAATGATCACCAAGGCGGAATGCTTCTACGGATCTTTTATCAAATGTCTCAAAAAATTGATCCTAATTCTTAGAAAATTGCTAAACTACACCAATTTATCAATAATAAGTAATTTCATCATAAGTTGAGCGTTGACAAAAGATCTCGTTCCCCCTCCCCGTTCTTTTAGTCGCGCCATTTTCGCGCGGTCTTTGACTCTCGTTCCTCGTTCTTTGCTCCTAAACCGCACGGAAACGCTTGCTACGCAGGCTCGTTTCCCTGTGCCCTTGCCAATTTCTCCAGTCAGTGAATTGCCCTGGGTACGAGGTTGAGCAACGGTAGTACAATAGTTTCTTTTTCCCTAACAACGCCCCTTTCGCCTTCCTGTCAAATTCAATCACGCAATTTAAGTCTGCGCGAGGCGTTCAGTTCTCGAAGTTCGCACGCGGTTTTCGCGTTTTGGGCACATGTTTCACGCTCCACTCGAGTGACAGGACAAAGATGGATTCACTACCGGAAATGAATAATCAGTTGTTCAAATCAATCAGTGTACTAAGTCTACCGCATTTAAAACTTTTTTTAAAGAATTCTAAAAATCAAACTTTCCTTACATTCCTATTAGTGTGACATACAACACGTACGTGCGCCGCACGATCAACACGCTCGCTTGTCAGCGTTGGCCAAAGTAACGACCTTTGTCAATATCATATTTTCTCATTCAGACATGTTTAAAGTCCTCAAATGATGAGGCCTAGTTTCTTTTTATTTACATTCTGACACAATCGGGATCAATTTTATCCTGTCTATCTCGCATATAAGTTACGCTTCACAAGACACTTTAAGCTGTTTAAGGCGCAGTTTTAGGTTTCGATTGTTTGTACTCTAATCATTCAGTGCATAAATTATCGCGAAAAACCAAGCTTAAAATTTCCCGATGTGTGTGGTATAATGGTATAGGGTGGATCAACTGTAAAAAATAATAACTGTGAATTGTATCTTTGTACCACGTCAGGAACCCATGGGCTTTTGATCAAACAGATCTCAAGTACCGAGTTGAAAACGCAGGAATAGGCATAGTTACAGGCCGTGATAAACAGCACAAATCATACAAACAAATTCCGCTTACCACTAGTCTTTATACAGTAGAAAGATACCAGAAACAGTAAAGTCCTGATTAAGAAAGATTCATGCATCCCTTGCATCGCTTCGAGTGAAGTCAAAGAGCCTTGGAAATAAAGTGAAAGTCAATTATCTGCAATCAAAAATAAAAAGTTTTCGCACTGACGGTAAAGATATGATGTTACGAAACAAATCTATTTATCTTTAACATCGCAGTGGGTGGGTAAGTATAATATCATGGCTTTTCAGGTACGTACGTGTTAAGCCCCAATGAGTGACAAGTTTTACGCCAAGTCGGGGGATGTTTTTTTTTCTACAAGTGAGGAAGGGCCCACTTTTAAGTTATAGGCCCATCTACCTGTTGGCAAACATGAAACAATAATTTTTGCCCGCCTCTGAATTCGATTTATTATCACGTTTCGAAAATTAAAAACTANCAAATTCCGCTTACCACTAGTCTTTATACAATAGACAGATACAAGAACCAGTAAAGTCCTGATTATAAAAGATTCATGCATCCCTTGCATCGCTTCGAGTGAAGTCAAAGAGCCTAGGAAATAAAGTGAAAGTCAATTATCTGCAATCAAAAATAAAATGTTTTCGCCCTGACGGTAAAGATATGATGTTACGAAACAAATCTATTTATCTTTAACATCGCAGTGCGTGGGTAAGTATAATATCATGGCTTTTCAGGTACGTACGTGTTAAGCCCCAGTGAGTGACAAGTATTACGCCAAGTCGGGGGATGTTTTTTTTCTACAAGTGAGGAAGGGCCCACTTTTAAGTTATAGGCCCATCTACCTGTTGGCAAACATGAAACAATAATTTTTGCCCGCCTCTGAATTCGATTTATTATCACGTTTCGAAAATTAAAAACTAGTAAATGCAAAACATATTTTGATCAACACTGCTACAGCTTGTTTCGAAGCCCTCTTTCTATTCCGGTTATAATCCCCCTCGTATATAAGACCCTTGGTTTATAAGTCCCCCTCGGATATAAGCCCTTTCGGTTATAAGCCCCCTCGGATATAAGCCCTTCCGTTAATAAGCCCCCTGAGATATAAGTCCTCCCGGTTATAAGCCGCCCCCCTAAAACCCCATACAAAGATCAAGCCCGAGGCTTATAAGCGACAGTTTACGGTAGGGTATACAACCTACAGGACTATTAAAATTCGGGTAGTTGGTATCGTGAAAATAGGAGTATTTTCGCTCCTCAGTTTTCCACTGGTGGACTTTGATAAGGGTTAAGTTAATTATGTTCATGTTATGAGGGTACGAAAAATAAAAAATAATAGGTATCGCCGAGCAAAGGAAATAAAAATTTTTCGACAACCTTGCAATAAATACCTTTAAAACGCTTTCCAGCCTCCTTAAAAGAATAAACTACTGATGTTGAAACTCATTTTTATATATATATGGTTTTTGCTGAAGATAATTGTTTGGAGGAAGAAAGGATCGAAACAACGGGAAACACGGGCTATTATTAAAGATCATTTTAAATATCGCTGTAGGACAGTGGGCAGGTTTCGAAGTGGATGAGCGTGAGAGCCAAAAGCGAATGATTCTGTGGTCAGTGGCATTTTCCTGCAGGAATTGTTTTTAAATTTTGGCGTAAAATAGAGAAAACTAAGGTCAATATCAGATCAAATGTAACAAAACTTTGATTTTCTAGGAAACGCCTAGAAGCCCTTTACCACGCCCAATTGCTGTCAATTGTCTTGAAAATTTGAGGTTTCGATATCTTCATCCCCTTATTGCGCGTTGGTTAATCACACGTATCAACGACAGAAACTGAAAGAGATATTGTCGATTTCTGACGTCACAACATGAGTGCGATCGAACTGACTGGACTGGCGGAGTGTTGACATTCGGGGTTACATGACTTACATCGCGCGCACATCTCGCAAGCTCGACAGAGCGATAGCGAAAGTGCGTTTATCTCCTCAGTGAGCTTGAATGACTCGACTAGGGCTTGTAAACACGTTTTCTTCATCAACACCAACTCAAGCCTCCATGGTGTGCTCCTGGGATGTATTGGGCGCGCGTTAAGAAGGAAGAGCGCGAGAAAGACACCCGTGTACAATCTTATGCCGAGCGGGGCGAGTGACAATCGATCGCGCGGCGCGAGAGAAGAGCTGGGAGATAAAAAGCTAAAGAAAATAACATTTTGCGCGGGAATACGACTTCTTTTACGATTTACATGTAAAATTCAGACTTCCAGTGTCATCAATCGAAAAAACAAATATCGCTTTAAATCTCTTAATTTAGAGACACAATTGTAAATTAAACGTTATTTTGTAAAAGTAAGTAATAATTTATGATCGCAAAAAAATGTTTCACTGCGAGTGATTTCATTACTTAACTGCGATTTGCACCATTTGATCGTTCTGTCTGTAATAAAAGAGGAAATGGATCAAGGAAAGTTTCATGACGACTATAATCTGGGTAATTGACCTGAACTCCATTACTAAATACTGTTTTCAAAGCGGACTTAGATAACAGATTAATTAATCAAACAGCGTCAAAATAGTCTTACCTAAGAAAGCCTTCAAAGTCGAAGCGATCTTCAAAAATCACCATTTGAAATCAGCTTTAGCCTGCTTCAAACAGTAGCAACGCTCAGTGAACTCTTCCCTGACAAGAACGAATCATGCATCTTGTTAAATGGCTGTTGTAGATTCCATGTACTATCAGTTAAAACTACAAAAAAGCTTTGATTATTTGTCAACTGTAATCGAAAGTGCAAATTTTCGGGTGAGAGTTATTTGGTTTTGTTAGTCAAAAGTAAAACATGAACTTATTCAGTGCTTGTTCGTCGACTAACGATCGCTAACAGATACGATATCGCCAACGTCAGAGATACAACACCATTTAACATAATTCGAACCTTTTCTTCGGAGAAAAATCTTAATCGTGTCTGGATCCGCGAGATAGGCTAAATCGTGACACATTACCACTTTGTAATAAAATATGGAGTGGATATCAACAGTTATCACCTGCCACAGTGAAATAACAGGTGTCCGTATTGTGCAGTATCTTCTGGGAAATACGAGCAATAACAAATGGCGCAAACGAGAAACGGCACGGTGTTTGCGTAAACTAAAATCTCTCCTCTCCAATGTTATTTTATCTCGGATATCTACCAAACATTTTGAAATGTCATAAGCTATCAAGGGAAAATGTCATCCAGTTCTTGGATATCAATTTCTATATTATGTTCCTGGGTGATGAAGGTAATGGATTATTATAAAATCCCGCCCATTTAGTCAAAGACTGTATGTAATCATATTTTGCATTCCTACATGTTCTGCTACTGCGGCGGCTATTATTATTAAACTGTTACTCCGAATGCGAATATCTGAAGTACAGCTGGTTGAACACAAGCGCTTCTCAGTGTGGGAATTTCGACAGTGTTGCGGCGCAAAGATCATGGGAAGACTTCAGAAACGCAAAGGCACAAGGCTTTTCACGTTGAGCCGGCCTTACGCCCTTCCAATTTTGAAGCTTTCCTATGATTCTGCGCGGTGATCACTAGAAGCGCCTAGGCACGAGGCAAGGTTATAAGTGTGTCCGAGCAAAAAAGTGTAAAAGGGTTCAGATATTTGTTAATAAAAATTTTGAAGAACTAGGATCGTTTACGTGTGGATAGAAGGACAGAAGAGGCAAGAAAAAAAAAGCATGTCTTTGAGGACACATGTATGTTGCTTCATATCAGTCCCGCACCCATTCCTTCTCTCCCTTCCTCCTTCCCAACTCTCTCCGCGCGCATCTCTTTTGTAATTGACGCATTCTCTGATCTCTGTGTTCGCTGTACGCACTGTGCTACCTAGAATATACGAACAACTTTAGAAAAACAATGGACCTACACACGGCGTAACTTAGAAATTATATTGCATGCAATATCCTCCGTAATGTAGACGTGCCCGCACCTCTTCTTGGAAGAGGTCCCCCATGTACCCTGTGGTTCGATTTTTGTAAGCGACCACTAAGTCTTTGCATTTTGGGTGGATCTCTTATGGGAGGTTCGACTGTAATTACAGCCTTGAAATTGTTGCCAAATTAAGTCTCCAAGTTACTGATAAGAAGGTACCTAACGGAAAAATCCTGGGAGCCAGGCTGCTACGGGTAGTGATGAACGTGATCGGGCATGAAGGGATCGGAAAATCAAAATTTGACCTCGTTTCGAAGCAAAGATTTTAGCCGTTGCTAAGCTGTGAGTCTCGCAGAAACACCTGCTGGTTCGCCATACACTTAAAGAAAGCATTTCATTGCTTCGAAACTCGCCTTACAAGTTCTACCCCACGGATCGGAAAATATATTATCATTGAAATATTTTAAGGGGTAATTGTAATTTGAAAGCATTGCTAGTTGAATTCAAAGTAAAAATTGGTAAAACTGCAAGGAACGTAGACCAGCACAAACTGTGCGATGGTCTTTCGACTGCTCTTAGGAACTGAAAAGAATCTAGAGTTGACCATGATCTGTATTAAAAATTCAACAGCGTTAGTGTAGATATTAATTCTTCGATATCTCTCTTTGTGCACGAAAACAGACTGTCGAAGGTCTTTTTACGGAAACTTAGACAAGTAAATGTCATGTGCGCTACGTATACTAAATATTGTCTTCAAAACATACTCTGTATGATAAACGGAAAATTGACTTAGAAATTTCATACAATTTAATTTACGTACAGTTCCGGTAATGAAACTTTTTTCAAAAAATGCCACAGCTTGAGGCTTGATTTATCTCAACTAAAACTACCATCATTGTATTTGTTCATCTTTCTGTCATTTTTTCTTACTGCTAATGATTCGATCGACACGGCTGTTATGAACGAATGTCAGCTGTTTTTCTTAAGGTATTTTCGAAAAATTCGTAACTTAACATTCAATAAAAGTAACATTATTTTATTCGAATGTTTGTCTCTGTTTTATATGGCTGGGAAAACGAAAAACTTCCAAGCGCTCACCGAATTCAGCTCTATCCCCGGTGAGTGAAAGCGACGAAACCACTGTAATAAGTGTCGACCATTTAATAACTCTTCTGGCTCTTCTCAAAGCGGAATAAATTTCTGTTCGCCAAG